TGCAATGCCAGGTCAATGATGAATAAAACCACTGCCATCCACGACCTGATTGTGGATGGAGGATTTGACCTGGCATGTGTGACAGAGACCTGGTTGGATGAAGCAGGTGGGCCTGTCCTTGCCGCTGCTTGCCCACCAGGTTTCTCTTACGCACAGCAACCCAGGTCATGTGGGCAGGGAGGGGGGGTTGCAGTGATTTTTAGGAAGTCATTAGTCTGCACCAGGCGTCCTATTGGGAAGACCCAGTTTTCTGAGTGCATGTTCTGGAAGATGGGCAATAGGGGCAGTACAGGATTCCTATTGGTGTACTGACCTCCCCGCTGCACCAAGGATTCCCTGCCTGAGCTGCTTCAGGTCGTGGCGGATATGCTCCTGGAGACACCTAGCTTGGTTGTCCTGGGGGATTTTAACATCCATGCCGACACGACCTTACAAGGGGCCGCTCGGGACTTTGTGGAAAGCATGGCCTCCATGGGGCCGTCCCTGAATAAGTTTGGCCCAACTCATAGCCGCGGACATGCCTTAGACTTGGTGTTTACCTCTACGGATGTTGGTGATCTGACACTAACTAAAAGCGAAACAAAAGATGTGCCATGGTCAGATCACTTCCTGGTGCAACTGGACTTCTCCGTGACCCTTCCCCTCTGCAGGGAGGTGGGACCGATTCGGATGGTCCGCCCCCGCCACTTAATGGATCCAATTGGCTTCCAGAGAGTGGTAGGGGATGTTTTATCCCAAGTTGATGGCCTTTCAGCTGATTCCCTGATGGCCCGCTGGAATGTGGAGTTAACCAGGGCTATTGACTGTCTGGCTCCGAAGCACCCTCTCCGATTGCATGGAGCCCGGACAGCCCTGTGTTTTGCCCGGAGCTGAGGGCGATGAAACAATCGTTGAGACGGCTAGAGCGCCAGTGGCAGAAAACTCATTCCAGACCGGACACAGGCTAGATCTCAACGTCGAGCCTACCAAGTGGCAATGGCGACGGCGAAGAGGGACTTCTTCGCCGCCTCCATTTCATCTGCAGAAAACAGCAGCAGGAGACTTTTTCAGGTGGTTCGCAATCTATCGGAACCACCTGCACCACCGGGGCCTGGTAGGGACCCCAAGATCTCCTGCAATGCTTTTGCAAAGTTTTTTGCAGATAAAGTCGCTCAGATTCAGAAGGAGGTAGACTCCACCGTGGGAGCAGGGCCAGGGCGGGAGAGTGCTAGAGTTCTGTCTGGTCCTGTTACATGGGATCAATTCCAATCTGTTACCTCCGAGGATGTGGACAGGCTGCTTGGACAAGTGAAACCGACCACCTGTCTCCTTGATCCTTGCCCATCCTGGCTGATAAAAGCGAGCCGGGAAGGGCTGGGCGATGGGCTCTGCGGGGTGGTGAATGCTTCCCTCTGTGAGGGAGCCTTCCCAGACCCGCTGAAAGAGGCGGTCATTAAACCACTTCTTAAAAAAAACATCTTTAGACCCGGCCAATTTGGCCAACTATCGCCCAGTCTCAAATCTACCATTCTTGGGCAAGGTGATTGAGTGGGTGGTTGCCAAACAACTCCAAGGACGCCTGGAGGATGCGGACCATTTGGATCCCTTCCAATCAGGATTCAGGCCTCACCATGGGACTGAAACTGCCTTGGTCGCGCTGGTTGATGATCTCCGGCAGGCTAGGGACAAAGGTGAGAGCTGTTTCCTAGTTCTGCTGGATCTCTCAGTGGCCTTTGACACCATCGACCATAACAGCCTCCTGGACCGTCTAGAGGGGCTGGGAGCTGGGGGCACTGTTATACGGTGGTTCTGCTCCTTTCTCCTGGGCCGTGTCCAGAAAGTGGTATTGGGGGATGAGTGTTCAGACCCCTGGGCTCTCACTTGTGGGGTGCCTCAGGGTTCCGTCCTCTCCCCCATGCTTTTTAATATCTATATGATATTGGGAGAGATCATCAGGGGGTTTGGGCTGGGTGTTCATCAGTATGCAGATGACACCCAGCTCTACTTCTTCTTTAAATCAGAACCAGTGAAGGCGGTGAAGGTCCTGTGTGAGTGCCTGGAGGCGGTTGGAGGGTGGATGGCGGCTAACAGATTGAGGTTGAATCCTGACAAGACAGAAGTACTGTTTTTGGGGTACAGGGAGCAGGTGGGTGTGGGGGATTCCCTGGTCCTGAATGGGGTAACTGTGCCCCTGAAGGACCAGGTGTGCAGCCTGGGAGTCATTTTGGACTCACAGCTGTCCATGGAGGCGCAGGTTAACTCTGTGTCCAGGGCAGCTGTCTACCAGCTCCACCTGGTACGCAGGCTAAGACCCTATCTGCCCGCGGACTGTCTCGCCAGAGTGGTGCATGCTCTAGTTATCTCCCACTTGGACTACTGCAATGCGCTCTGCGTGGGGCTACCTTTGAAGGTGACCCAGAAACTGCAATTAATCCAGAATGCGGCAGCTAGACTGGTGACTGGGAGTGACTGCCGGGACCACATAACACCGGTTCTGAGAGATCTGCATTGGCTCCCAGTACGTTTCCGAGCACAATTCAAAGTGTTGGTGCTGACCTTTAAAGCCCTAAACGGCCTCGGACCTGTATACCTGAAGGAGCGTCTCCACCCCCATCGTTCAGCCCAGACACTGAGATCCAGTATCGAAGGCCTTCTGGCGGTTCCCTCATTGCGAGAAGCGAGGCTACAGGGAACCAGACAGAGGGCCTTCTCGGTAGTGGTGCCCGCCCTGCGTAACGCCCTCCCATCAGATGTCAAAGAGATAAACAACTACCTGACATTCAGAAGACATCTGAAGGCAGCCCTGTTCAGGGAAGTTTTTAATATTTAATGCTGTATTGTTTTTAACACTCGACTGGGAGCCACCCAGAGTGGCTGGGGAAACTCAGCCAGATGGGCAGGGTATAAATAATAAATTATTATTATTATTATTATTATTATTATTATTATTATTAGAGTGAATGGGCTGCTGCCCCACCAAACTCACTCTGCCCTTAGCTAGAGCCCACCTGTCTGGCTCTCATACTTGCAACAACCCGAAGGAATAGTGCTGCCTGTTGGCTTTCTCCTTCATATTCTTTCATTATTCCCTAGCAGAGCTCAGCAGGGGGGAGAATGGGGACAAAGCTAGAATTATTTCCCCTGGTTATTGGCTCTGGCTCTCTGGCTCCATCTACTGTCAGTCTCCTTGCTTTCTGACCTAGCAGACCCAACAGGCACCAGCCGCTACTCACAGGCAAAAGAAGATGCTGGAAATGATCTCACCAACATGCCACATTTTAGGTATTTTCAGAACCCACTTGAGATATGCAACTCCCTTCAAGCAGTCTGGAGTGGTATATCCAATACTTCGCATAGGTGGATTCAGCCTCCTGGGTGTGAACACAGCTAGTTCACTCAGCCATCTAAAAGTGAATGGGTCTGGAGAGGTTAAATGCCATGCAGTTCAAATTATTGTCCCTAGCCGTGGCAGTCACAGCAAAGTCGCCATTCATAACTTGCCAGAAAACGTACGCCTCCCCATGCTCATGATGCCATGTGAATAGGCTACGTTCTTCAGCCATGTATTCAAAATCTCACCAAACCTCCACTATAAATTGGAAAGCTCAGAACTTCTTTGCAGGCTATCAATGAATGATTAATACAGTTTATAGAAAACGATGTTCATTTACGGGATTGAGACACAGGGGACAAGCCAATCTATGTGGGGTTGTGTTTTTCCCTTCTTTCTTTCTTTCTTTCTTTCTTTCTTTCTTTCTTTCTTTCTTTTTACATGTGAGCTAATGCTGCTGTTAGATTTAGGAAACTGCTTGAGTCCACTGGATAGGAGCCACTGGGCTGCAGCTAGGCGCTGCATGGCAAAGGCACACAGAGCCTGTAGAAGAGAAACAGAAAGGGCTGTTTGTTTGCTTGTGTGGTGCTCCTGCTTCCCCCCCTCCTGCCCCCACAGTGGAAGGAACTGAGTAATCTTCAGTGGGTTGTTTACATTCTGGGGTGAGGGGTGACAGCTGTAGGGAGAAGAAAAGCGTTCCTTTTCCTATTAAAATTTGACCCCATTGGCTAAAATTCACCCCTTCTGGATAATGGAAGTTTCAGTTGATTAAACCACAGATTCAGCTGATTAGAGCACACAGCCCTCGTTTTTTCATTCATTCTCTGTAGTCTGTGGGTTGACCCATTTGCAAAGGGTTGGACATGACAAGAGGTGTATAAGTGCAGAGTTGCCAGACAGAAAGAAGGTTTTCTTTGTCTTTCATAATACTAGAACCTGGTATTATTCAATGAATCTCCTACGGTGGGAAGATTCAGGACATACAAAAGGAAGTATCCCCCCCCCCCCCACAGCACATAGTTAAGCTATGTAACTTGCTGTGACAAGATGCAGTGGCTTCAGAATATTAGAAGAGCTTTCCTGAATCAGACCAAAGGCCCATCTAGTCCAGCTATCATGTTATCTTGCAGTGGTCAAGAGAAATCCGAAAGGAGGACCTGAGCGCCACAGCTCTCTTTCCCACTCGCAATACCCCACTGGGATTCAGAGCGACTATGATTAGTTGCCACTGATAGGCTTAACCTCCATTAATTTGCCCAAACCTGCTTAACCTCCATTAATTTGCCCAAATCGTCTTCTAAACGCTCTTTCATTCTGCTCTTCTGTAAGTTTCCTACAACCCGTTCCTTCCACATTCGAATAATCAAACCCGATGCGACTCTTTTGTTATTCAAGTCTCTAGCAAGGACTCCCCTGCCAGCAGCCCCTCTCTCCGACTGCATCGCCCACCACCCTTTCGCACAGGAAGCAACCCCTCCTCCATTGTCAAAATCGGACCTTTTGAAACTCAGCTCGTCCTTGCCTGGGAAAGCAGAACCCCCTCCTTTCTCTGACCAAAAAGGCTTTCCGAAAGAGAGAGCTCCCACCCGCTTGCAGCCATTGGCCACCTCATGGGAACCCAAAGGACGGGGCGGAGTCCTGGGCTGCTTAGAACTGCTCGCCATCCAATCAGAAATGCCTTCTATTGGGAGATTGTTCCCCCCGCCCTCCCCCTGCTTCTCCGCGCGCACGACGCTCACAACTCCTGCCCAGGGATTGGAAGCGGGGCGCAAGAGCCCATCTCCAAAGAGGAGGTTTCGCCGCCCGCCGCCAGCCCTTTAAACAAAGGCTTGGAGGGTTTGCTCAGCGAGCGCCTCTGCCTGCTTCTCTGTTTTTGAGGATAATCTGTGCGTTTTTAGAAAGCGCAAATAGTTTTGTTTTTGGGATCCAGCTCCAGAGTGTCACCGAAACAACATGAAACAGATCTGTGTATTGCAACGCCGGGCGGCAGGAAGCTTCTAACTCGGACCTACAGACTGACTGGATCTGGAAGTAGTCAGTGGCGCTGATCACCCCACCTTGGGAAGGTGGTCTTTGCTATGTAAGTTGACTTTTCCATTTGTTTCTTTGAATTCATTGTTAAATTCGCCTTTAAAAAAAAAAGTGACCAGATTTCTAGTACGTCGCCTAGAGAGGTGAAGAAGCGCCTTTAATAACAAACGAATAAAATCTTCTCACCACCACTGTCCTTTTCCTATGATTTCAAACATTTCCTAGTGAGGCCTGATCCGGTGTGTGTCACACAGCGTGATCCTAGGATATCTACTCAGAAGTAAGTTCTGTTGAGTTCAATGGGGTGTGCAACAAGGTACGATAAGTGCGGCATCAGACGATCATTTCCAGCCACACCTTTCTGGAGATAAGCCCCTCTGATCTCGGCGGTACTTACTTCTGAGTAGACATGCCAAGGATTCTGATCTAAGGCTCCTGAAACCGATAAGACGACTAATTTATTTCGGCAGGGGTCGTGGTGGGTGTAATCTTTCTGCTTTCATGTCTGAGACTTTTAAGCAACAGTTTTTATAGGAGGCCCACGAATCTTCTCACCTTGATGTAGCAAAACAAAACTGCCTTTCTTTTTTCTTTTGAGAGTGCTTTTAGTTCCAAAGTTTCTTCAAATCTGTGTTTGCTTGCAATAAAAAGATACCACAGTGCACATTTTCTGATTATGATCATTGAATGGGGCTTCAGTCATCACACCACACTCCCACACCCCCATAGCCTCTTTCTCTTTAAAATCCCATTAAATATTCTTTTTCTGTTTTTTTAAAAATGGAAGTTTGGTATTGCCCCCCCACTTGTTGACTGCTTTACATTTCTGCATTTTTAGTGTAAGTTGGCACAAACACATACATTTACATAGTTCTTTGGCCATCTTCTCTGCAGCTAAAATGCTAAATCATTTTAGAAAAGCACAGATTTTAGTTTTAACTCTATGGGTCAACATTAAACAGTAGTTTGGGGTGTCTACATTTTTACATTTTACATTTCAGCACTCAAAAGGCATTCCTGTTATTGTAAAACTTATCTTGTTTTAAATCATATCTTTATTTCTGTGTAAAGTATGATTAAACAGGCAATAGATCTGGACACTTGATTTTTCTTTCATCTGTGTGATTCCATTTAGGTGCATGATAACAGCTGCTATCCAGTGAGTTGTTGTCATTCCAATGGTCAGATAAAATCAGAGTATCATAAAGCACAACTGAAGCAAAAACAAGAGAAATAAAATGTAATAAATGTTTTAAAATGTAATGCTCCTTTATTCCCTAGTAAGTTGTTTAGGACTGCTTAACTTAGGATCCAGCCAGAGTTCTGCCCATTTCTTCATTCATTTCTGGGATTTGTATCTTTCCATGTTTGTATTATGAGTGGATTACAGTATTTTATTGTATTACATTGATAATATGAATATTGATAGATACAAACCCCAGAAATGAATGAATGAATGAATGAATGGCTGGATTGTGAGTAAATGTAGCATACAGTAATTATGTATGAAGCCTGAAACTATAATTTACAGAGCTACAGTTCTCAGCACCCTTAACAAACTACAGTTCCCGGGATTCTTTGGGGAAAACCATGTGCTTTAAATGTATGGTGTGGGTTCAACCTAAGTGCAAGACTACCTCCATCAGTTCCCTGTTATGCAACGAGGTGCCAAGTATATTAGCAGCAGGTTATATCCAACCAAGTTCTGCTCAGAACGGACCCATTGAAATTAACTGGCCTAAGCTAGTCAGGTATACTAATTTCAATTTGTCCACTCTATAACTAACATAGAATACAACCCAGAATCCCAAAGCTGTCCTGAGTGCCTGATACAAGGAACAAAGATGTGTCCCATCTTGAACTGCTGTGTAGTCTCAAAGCACCTCATCACATGCACAAAGCCTTGATAGATCAAACCAAAGGTTCATCAGGCCCAGAAGTCATATGGTCACAGAAGCCAACCAGATGTTGATCAGACACCCACAAGGAAGTCATGTTGAGAGCAATAGCTCTCTCCCCACTGTTGACCCACAGTACCTGGTATTCGGAAGCATGGATCTTAAAGGCTATATTTAACCATTGTGACTAGTGGTCATTGATAGCCTCATTGCCAGGCTCCCGTTCCCAAAACACAATAACATGCACACAGGTTTCCATCTGTTTTTGGGTGCTGTTGGGTGTTGAATTTGAATTAAGATGGCAGACTGAACCTTTCAAAACTGCACTGATTTTTTGGCTTAGAATTCCTGAGCAACACCAGCTGGTTATCTATAATGCTGTCAAACTACTGAGCATCAGAAGGGTTATTTCTGCTCAAAGTATGTTGTGTTTAATATAAATAATTTCTCATTGTATATAAATACAATGGATGGTGGAACTAGAAGGATGGGGAAGTTCAGAGTTCAAAATCTGCTCAGGATATCCTCATGTCTGGGTATTCTTCATTGCTTTTCTCCTTAGTTAGTGAACTGCAGGGAATAAAGCAGGAAGCTAACTGGATTGCTCTGGATTGATTTCAGAGGTTGCAGAAATAGCCAAAAACGAGCAAGAAACCCAGATTGATTTCAGAGAATATCTTGGTTTCCTCTTCTGCTTCTAAAGCAGACCTCTTTCCTAGGGGGAGGACCATAGTGCAGTGGTAGATCATCTGGTTTGCATGCAGAGGGTCCCAAATTCAATCCCAGGCATCTCCAGGTAGTTCTGGGTATGTCCCTTGACTGAAGCCTTGGAGAACAGCTGTCATTCTGTCTATATAATACTGAGCTAGATGGACTTGGTATAAGGTAGCTTTCCTGTGTTCCTAGCTTGTAAGTCACTTGGTAAACTCAGTTGCTTGCCTTTCAGGTGGAGGAATCAAATGCTTTCTCTATCCTTTTCCTTTAAGAAAAAAAAGGGGGGTGTATTACCATTGCAATGGGCATATTGTATTGAATTTCTATGAACATTCAGTTTTGCTAGTGAGTAGTTGAGCAAGGGGAAATGGTGGAAGATGGATAAGGTTACTTGGCTGTTGTAACTTTCTTTAATTCAGAAGGGTTTAAGGACATAGAATTGACTATCTGGATGGTTACCAATTCCAGATTACCTTAATCTTCAACACACATAATTCATAGGATAGCTGTGAGTGGCATTAATATTGAACTGTTTGCTTTGGAATTGCTGGCCTTAATGAATGATTTTGAGAACTATGATGCAGCTTGTAATGGGCAGACCAGACATGAATTTTATCTTGTATTCTGGTGCTGCATAGTTATTTTCTCCCCTAGCTATCTGGAAATGAGTGGGTGGGGGTGGGGCGATAGAAGCAAACTGCATCAGAACTGTGGGAAGAAGAGAGATACTTGTTCCCTGGTTAATGCTGCCTCCACTTGCCTCCCTGTAAGTTCCTTGAGGCAGAGGTCTGCTGTTCTTGTATTCTGTAAAGCACCATGTACCGTACATTTATGATGATGATGATGGTGTGTGTGTGTTTATATAGTGTGTTTTATATATATAGTGTGTGTGTAGGGGGGAAGGTTTGGGAAATCGTCAGCCATCTGAAGGATTCATGGGGTATCAGTGTCAATAATGAATTGCATTTTGTTTACCAACTATGTTAAATCATATTTTAAAAATGTACACATTTTCTATGTGCACAACAATGCAAATGGCATAATTACCTTAGCAAACAAAAGAGTCCTTAGTTTAAAGAAATCCCTTTAAAACATAAGAAAAGCCCTGCTGGATCAGACCAAAGAATCGTCTAGTACTCCAGCATTATGTTCTCACAGGAGCCAGCCAGTTAGAAATGGTATAATACTGCTTTAAATGTATAGTGCAGATGTGACCTCTGACTCCCCTTCTGGTGTCACTCAACTACTTGAGTTTGGTATTTGAAGGAGTGATTGGACATTTGGAAATCTCCTGTTCGTGTCTCTGTCCTATCTGAAACTGGGGGTGGGAGATGTGGGCTAGGAGAGTTATGTTTGATTTGGTAGGTCACAAACTGTGCATTTCCAGCTTACCAAATTTGCAGATTTTCCTTGGCAAAAGTTTTCCAATCACTCATTGGAACAACAAGGAAATAAAAACAAGTGCAGGTAAGTCCTTAACAAAAGTAGTACAAATGGAATAATGGGTCTTTTTCATCAGTGCTCTTGCGGGTAAGAGAGTCCAGATGAGAGTTGTGTGTGGCAAATCTAAGGATGATTTGTCAGCAAGTCCTTTGAGAGCCAGCTTTTGAATGTAATATTTATTTCCTTTCAAATGCACAGCCTGCAGAAACCAAAAAGGTAAGAGCTGTAGGGCAGCTGGGGTTTGTTTTATATAACTAATACACATATTTATTCAACTGGACATATGTAAATTTATGTTTTGAGTCTGCATAAATGCAAGTACTCATAAAGCTGAGCCCAAATTTAGATTCATAACCAGCAAGATTGGGAATCTCCCCCCCCCCTTTTAAATGAAGCTGTTGAAAAGAAAGAAAGAGGCTTATGCATAAAAAGGTTTCTTTTTCTTTTATTAAAAATTGCAAGTTCCTGCATTGATCCATTGGGTGAATATACACACACACAAAAGCAACAGTACTTTTAAAAGGATTGACTGAAAGGTCACAAGGAAATGAGTGAGCATCTTGAGATCATCAGAACACAAGTTTGATTAATCTGAAAAAATGTGATTTTTTTTTTATCCCAATAAGCTATATTCCTCACTGTTGCAGTGTTGCTTTATGGATTTTTAGAGAAATAAAGGCTCCATATGCAGCATGTATTATAACACAGTTACATTAAACGGTAGGTTCAAAGAACTGCAGTTTTTTAAGGGCGAAGAAAGTGGTTAGAGGAGACCCCTATTCCCATCACAGAGCTACAGTTTCAGAGTAGTTTTACCACCCCCCTAAAAAAATGCTTATGGGTACTCTCATTTTCCTACTCATATTGAAATAATGCCCCTCAATGAGGCCAAACTTAGATTCACAAAATGTTTAGGGGTATGCATACCCTTGCGTCCCCCCAGAAAAAAAGCACTGAGTTTAACAGTCAATCCCTCTTCCCAGGGAACTTTGTGAATTGCAACTCTTTGAGGTGAAGACAGATCTCCTAACAACTCTCAGCACCCTTAAGAAATATAGGTCCCAGGATTTGGTGGGGTGCGGAGGAGCCACGGGTGTTTAAAGGGATATCAAGGTAATGGTAAAGGGACCCCTGACCAATAGGTCCAGTTGTGACCGACTGGGGTTGCGGCGCTCATCTCGCTTTACTGGCCGAGGGAGCCGGCATACAGCTTCCGGGTCATGTGGCCAGCATGACTAAGCCACTTCTGGTGAACCAGAGCAGCGCACGGAAACGCCGTTTACCTTCCCGCTGGAGCAGTACCTATTTATCTACTTGCACTTTGACATGCTCTCAAACTGCTAGGTTGGCAGGAGCAGGGTCCGAGCAATGGGAGCTCACCCCGTCGCGGAGATTCGAACCGCCGACCTTCTGATCGGCAAGTCCTAGGCTCTGGTTTAACCCACAGCGCCACCTGTGTCCCTTAAAGGGATATAATAGTGCTTTAAATGTAAACAGCAGATGGGACCACGGTCAACAATGGGGGGTCTTATGATAGGGAACTTGGGTTATATTGAGAGATACATTGAAATATAGCTTAGTTGGTAGAGCATGAGACTCTTAATCTCAGGGTTGTGGGTCCAAGCCCCACGTTGGGTGAAAGATTCCTGCATTGTAGGAAGGGACTAGATGATCCCTGTGGTTCCTTCCAATTGTGTGATCCTCTGAATTATCTGATCACTCAGCTTATCGGCTAAGATGATTCCCGAGGTCACCCAGTAAGCTTCATGGCTGGCTTGAGCTTGAACCCAGGTCTTTCTAGGTCTTCTCCAATACTGCAATACTATACCATATTGCTGTTAATATCATTATTCCTGTATAGAGCTATCACCCCTCCACTGACATGAACAATGAATATTTTACAGGTCTATGGAGCTCAATGCCTATAACACCTGACAATTGGCCATTCTAACAAGGGCTGATGGGAGTTGTAGTCCAAAACATCTGATAGCCAAAGGTTGGAGGATGCAGATCAGGCATGGGAAAATTCGGCCCTCCAGATGTTTTGGGACTACAACTCCCAGCATCCCTGACCACTAGTCCTGTTAGCTTGGGATGATGGGAGTTGTAGTCCCAAAACATCTGGAGGGCCGAGTTTGCCTATGCCTGATGCAGATGTACAGTGTGCATGTCATACATACCATTACAGTAATGTGCACTCTGTACGGTTGGCTGGTGTTCTTGATGCCGCGATGGGAAACCTGTGTCTCACCAACTTTTCTGACCATTAGGGCTGCTGGAACTTTACGAAGGGTCACCAGTTCCCCAACCCTTAATGACAATGAGGCTGAAGTGAGGAGCAGCTTCATAGTTTACAACCCGTACTCATGCAGTGCGATGCTGCGTGTTTTTACACAGAGGTATGTCCCTCTGTGTAAAAACAGGGACGGGACGCGGGTGGCGCTGTGGGTTAAACCACAGAGCCTAGGGCTTGCCGATCAGAAGGTCAGCGGTTCGAAACTCCGCAACGGGGTGAGCTCCCGTTGCTTGGTCCCTGCTCCTGCCAACCTAGCAGTTCAAAAGCATGTCAAAGTGCAAGTAGATAAATAGGTATCGCTCCGGCAGGAAGGTAAACGGCGTTTCCGTGCGCTGCTCTGGTTCGCCAGAAGCGGCTTAGTCATGCTGGCTACATGACCCAGAAGCTGTACGCCGGCTCCCTCGGCCAATAAAGCGAGATGAGCACCGCAACCCCAGAGTCGGTGACGACTGGACCTAATGGTCAGGGGTCCCTTTACCTTATGTCGCTCTGAGTCCATTGGATTGTATCCAACTCTAGCCCTATTTAGAGTAAATCCATTGAAATTAAGGGGCATGGCTAATTGAAGTCTGGGTAGGACTTAGTTAAGATTTCCTTCCAAATCAGCATGTTTAAGATTGTAGCAATCTTAAGCAAACTGAGTAGGAAATAAATTCCAAACTGCATGCTGTTATTCTATCAGATTTAGCTTGTTCTTGAATTTTAAAGAGGGGGGAGGACATAAGTGCAAGATAAGTACAGTGGTACCTTGGTTTTCGGACGTCTCAAAAGTCGAATGTTTCGGCTTTTAAATGCCGAAAACCTGGAAGTAACTGCTTCGGTTTTGACTGCTTTTCGGAAGCTGAACATGCCACGTGGCTTCCGTTTTGAGTTTTCCAGACATAAGTGCTTCCGGAAATGCCTGCTTCAGTTTTCAAATGTTTTGGAAGTCGAACGGTCTTCCAGAATGGATTGTGTTCAAAAACCAAGGTTTCACTGTATTTGTTATTTCCTGCCTCCACATATAAGTTTAATACAGATTGTACCTTGAAAACTTGTTGGATCTGAATTACAGAAGCAAAATAAGCTATTGGGCAGAGTGAGATGCAGTGGATGCTGTGAGACAGGGAATAGCAGCAAGGTGTCAGAGGACAGTGCAAGTGTGTACATTTCCTTTTATATGCCTCCTAGCTCAGAACTGAGGGACTCGGGTGGCGCTGTGGGTTAAACCACAGAGCCTAGGACTTGCCGATCAGAAGGTTGGCGGTTCGAATCCCCGTGACGGGGTGAGCTCCCGTTGCTTGGCCTCTGCTCCTGCCAACCTAGCAGTTCGAAAGCACGACAAAGTGCAAGTAGATATTTATCTACTTTATAGATTCATCTACTTTATATTTATAGGTACCGCTCCGGCGGGAAAGTAAACGGCGTTTCCGTGCGCTGCTCTGGTTCGCCAGAAGCGGCTTAGTCATGCTGGCCACATGACCCGGAAGCTGTACGCTGGCTCCCTCGGCCAATAAAGTGAGATGAGCGCCGCAACCCCAGAGTCAGTCACGACTGGACCTAATGGTCAGGGGTCCCTTTACCTTTACCTTACCTCAGAACTGAAGCAAAACGGTGTGAATTTTTCCAGAGAACTCTTGAAATTGTCTAAGATTTGCTATTTCTGAAGCCATACAAAAAGAGGAGGAATTTGTCATTTGATGTGGTTCCAGGCTCCTGACTAATGGTTCCTTTTGTCAAAAGCATCCTGGGTCAGATGTTAGATCATGTATTACAAGAGGACACAAGCCACTGGAATGTCTGCTGTTTCTCCCACTGCAGCCATTAATATTCCCAGCACTGTCAGACAGTGTCAGTGGCACGACATGGAGATGACTTTGAGGTTTAACCTGCAAAACATGCTCTTTCCGGCTCGCTGTGGTCCTTCCCCAAATAGAACCAAGTACTATGTCGGACACCAAATATAATAGAACCTAGAAACGTTCTTTGAAATGACAACTGCTTTAGAAGGCAAAGAGCACACAGGTGAAACAGGAAATAACTGGATTTTTTTTAAATGCACACATGCTATACAGCACAAGGACCATATTCCCTTCAGGGCAACTTCCCAGGAGTCAGCAGTGGGCAAGGCCAGAGGGAAAAGGGATTGGAGCAACAAATGCAAATTTCATCTTTGGACAATAGGCTAACTCACATTCCCCTCTCCATCCTCTGTGCAAGCAAGCAAGAGGCATTATCAGAGTTCAAGGATACATTCCAGCCAAGAGCATGTGAAAAACAACATTGAAGGACTGGGTGATTAGGAGTGGTTTGTTGAGGTGATGTGGTTGGAAGACTTCTGAGGGCCAGAGAGAGAGAGACCAGAAATGTTGATTAGGTTCCCTGCCCAAGGTTCCCTCCTTCTGGAATACAGCATCATTCCCCGCACTGTTGTTCTCCAGATATCGCTGGACTACAACACCTGTTGGCCCCAGCCAGCATGTATGCTTGAATCCAACTCATACACAGAGAAAACCCATTGAAATCAATAGACACGACTAATGTAAGTCCATAGATTTCAGTGGGTCTATTCGGAGTATGACTTAGTTGGATTCAGTCCAGAGAGTCTGGCCCCCATCTGCACAATATCATGCCACTTTAAACAACCATGTCTTCTTCCTCACAAAGAATCCTGGGAGGTGTTGTTTGCTAAGGGTGCTGTGAGTTGTGAGGAGACCTCTATTCCCCTCACAGAATCAGATCCCAGAGTGGTTTAACAGCCAATCCCTCTTACCAGGGAACTCTTTGAGGAGGAGGAGAGTCTCCTTAGCACCTGTAACTAACTTGCCACGATTATTTGGGGTATGTTTTATATAAATTGGGAGGTACTTAGACTAAGTATTTGAGAACTGATTGCTTTTTCCTTTCTGGTTTTCCCCAGGAGAATGGCACCCATCACACCTGTGTGGCAACAAGCATTCAATCAATATCACTGGAATCTGCTCCTTAAGGCGAGCAGGGCTTCCTGACTTTCATTGCATGGATTCCACTTAATTTGGCTTTGCAAAGTGCAGAGCTGTAATGGGGAATCACAGCAACAACCACACATGCATGACGGATGATTCCTTCAAGTACAACCTCTATGGAGCTGTCTACAGCATGGTGTTCATCCTTGGCTTGATCACCAACTGTGCTTCCTTGTTCGTATTCTGCTGCCGCATCAATATGCGATCTGAGACCACCATTTTCATGACCAACCTGGTGGTCTCCGACTTACTCTTCGTCTTCACTCTTCCATTCAAGATCTTCTACAACTTCAACAGGCACTGGCCCTTTGGAGACCTTTTGTGCAGGATCTCAGGGACAGCCTTCCTGACCAACATCTACGGGAGTATGCTGTTCCTCACATGCATCAGTGTTGACCGCTTCCTCGCCATCGTATACCCGTTCCGATCTCGCACCATTAGGACAAGGAAGAATACAGCGATCGTGTGCATGGGTGTGTGGATTCTCGTCCTCAGCGGAGGGATCTCAGCATCCTTGTTCTCCACCACCAACACTTACAACACTAGTACAACGTGCTTTGAAGGCTTTTCCAAAAGCATATGGAAGACCTACTTGTCCAAAATTACAATATTTATTGAAGTGGTTGGCTTTCTTATTCCCTTGCTGCTCAACCTCATTTGTTCATCACTGGTCCTGAGGACCCTCCGGAAACCTGCCACGCTTTCCCAGATTGGCACCAACAAAGAGAAAGTGCTGAAGATGATTGTTGTACATTTGGCCATCTTCCTGGTGTGTTTTGTGCCTTACAACTCCATCCTTTTCTTGTATGCCCTCGTGCGTTCTCAGGCCATAGCAAATTGTTTCTTGGAGAGATTTGCGAGGACATTCTATCCAATCACACTGTGCATCGCCACTCTGAACTGCTGCTTTGACCCTTTCATCTACTACTTCACATCAGAGTCTTTCCAGAAATCTTTCTACATAACCCCCCACCTCAAAACTGACTCTCTTTTCAAAACTGAAACTCCCTTAACAAAAATTGCGCTACCGGTGATGCAGGATGAGATGAGCGACCAAGCCATTACAAAGGGGGGAGAGCTGACATCAGAATCAAATTTCTGAGTCTGAGATTTTTGCACTGACAGGAGGCTGAGAATTGGACTTCAGAGAAAACTCTACATAACTCACTGTCTGGGTGAAGGGAATGGGGATGAGAGATGAGAACCACAGGGAAGCGTTTTATATATGTGTGTATACGTATGTACGCAGCCAGTTGGGTGCTCATTCTGCCTTTGGAAACCTTCTCATCATATCTTAACTCAAATAACACTGTCCTTTTGTATGATTTGCTTTTGAAGCTATGAAATAATAAAATATTTCACTTTACCTTGGGGTTGTTTTTTTAAAACTACAGCTGATTATTTATTGTTATTTGGGGTTCCTGCACAATTTCCAAAATTTGGCATTCTAGTAAGTTATTTTTCTATGTATTTCTTGCCTTCCAAGGAGTCTTGCTTTGAATCTCCACTAATTTTGCCACTAGTGAAAGGGCTCTGAAGCATCCTCTGGTGGCATCAAAGGGCAGTGTGAAATATATGGGGGAAGGTGTCCTTTCAGGTTCTCCCAGCAATGCCAGTTGGTTAGAATCATAGAATCATAGAATCATAGAATCATAGAATCATAGAGTTGGAAGAGACCACAAGGGCCATCGAGTCCAACCCCCTGCCAAGCAGGAAACACCATCAGAGCACTCCTGACATATGGTTGTCAAGCCTCTGCTTAAAGACCTCCAAAGAAGGAGACTCCAACACACTCCTTGGCAGCAAATTCCACTGTCGAACAGCTCTTACTGTCAGGAAGTTCTTCCTAATGTTTAGGTGGAGTCTTCTTCTTGTAGTTTGGATCCATTGCTCCGTGTCCGCTTCTCTGGAGCAGCAGAAGACAACCTTTCTCCCTCCTCTATGTGACATCCTTTTATATATTTGAACATGGCTATCATATCACCCCTTAACCCTCCTCTTCCCCAGGCTAAACATGCCCAGCTCCCTTAGCCGCTCCTCATAAGGCATCGTTTCCAGGCCTTTGACCATTTTGGTTGCCCTCCTCTGGACACATTCCAGTTTGTCAATGTCCTTCTTGAACTGTGGTGCCCAGAACTGGACACAGTACTCCAGGTGAGGTCTGACCAGAGCAGAATACAGTGGAACTATTACTTCCCTTGATCTAGATGCTATACTCCTATTGATGCAGCCCAGAATTGCATTGGCTTTTTTAGCTGCCGCGTCACACTGTTGCCTCATGTCAAGTTTGTGGTCAACCAAGACTCCTAGATCCTTTTCACATGTACTGCTCTCAAGCCAGGTGTCCCCCATCTTGTATTTGTGCCTCTCATTTTTTTGCCCAAGTGCAATACTTTACATTTCTCCCTGTTAAAATTCATCTTGTTTGTTTTGGCCCAGTTCTCTAATCTGTCAAGGTCGTTTTGAAGTGTGATCCTGTCCTCTTGGGTGTTAGCCACCCCTCCCAATTTGGTGTCATCTGCAAATTTGATCAGGATGCCCTTGAGTCCATCATCCAAGTCGTTGATAAAGATGTTGAATAAGACCGGGCCCAAGACAGAACCCTGTGGCACCCCACTAGTCACTCTTCTCCAGGATGAAGGGGGAACCATTGATGAGCACCCTTTGGGTTCGGTCAGTCAGCCAGTTACAAATCCACTGAGTGGTAGCATAGTCAAGACCACATTTTACCAGCTTCTTTACAAGAATATCATGAGGCACCTTGTCAAATGCCTTGCTGAAATCTAAGGTAGGCTACATCCACTGCGTTCCCTTCATCTACCAGGCTTGTAATTCTGTCAAAACGAGATCAGGTTAGTCTGACATGACTTATTTTTCAGAAATCCATGCTGACTATTGGTGATCACAGCATTCCTTTCTAGGTGCTCACAGACTGTTTGCTTAATGATCTGCTCCAGAATCTTCCCTGGTATTGATGTCAGACTGACTGGGCGGTAATTATTTGGGTCCTCTCTTTCCCCTTTTGAAAATAGGGACAACGTTTGCCCTCCTCCAGTCTCGCCGGGACTCCGCCTGTTCCTCCAGGAATTCTCAAAGATGACTGCCAGTGGTTCTGAGATCACATCTGCCAGTTCTTTTAATACTCTTGGATGCAGTTCACCTGGCCCTGAGACCTGAATACATCTACACTAGCCAAGTATTCTTGTACTATCTCCTTAGTTATTCTGGGCTGTGTTTCCTTTGCTGAATCATTTGCTCCAAATTCTTCAGGTCGGGCATTGTTTTCTTTATCGGAGAAGACTGAGGCAAAGAAGGCATTGAGGAACTGGTCATTACTCAGCATCGGAATGGTTTAGGAAAGAACCCAAATAGGTTTCTTGGTGGTTTGCAAGTATTAAACACAAGTACACAAGCATTAAAATTAAAGGTACATCTGTATATTATTACCTCCACATTAATTAATATGCTACTATCCTGCCCTTTTTTCAGTCTGGAGCACAAGTTCATGAAGAACAACAATAAAAGACAACCATATACCAGTTAAATACATAATTAAACCAGATAATCAAATAGCATACCATAAGAAGCAACAACAGTATCTGCTACTCAAAAAATAATTATAGCAGGATAAGTGAGCTCATGGTGCATTTGAATCGGGGTCTTCTTGCACTGCAGGTGCAAGAATATACAGATATCCCCAGGATGGGCATGTTCCAACAGCAATTCTTCCTTCTGCTCACATTACTCAAATTCTTACAATTATCTCTTTGTTTGTTATACTCAAACCTGAACATTTCACATTCGACCTACAGAGGTTAAATCTGAGGGTGCTTGGGAGGAATGTGAGAACGTATTCCTGTGATTTTTGAAGCCTTACCCCTCTCACTCTCTGACTGAGTTTGGTTGGGGACATACTGATCATAAAGTTTTAAATCCCAAAAGTAAATTGTTGTGAAATAATTTTGCAATTTAATATACTTTTCTATTTTTCTAGAAAAAGAGGTGCCGGAACTCACCATGAACACCTCCCTCGTTCTCTTAGGATGGCAATGGCACCCACCTGAGAGGTGCTGGTGCCAAGGTCTGGTGAGTTCTGGCTGAAAAAAAGCCCTGAATAACAGTACTAAATTTTGGGTGGATTGTGCCTAGTTTCCTCTTCTTTTCTAAGGTGGTAAGGTCAAAGGGAAGGAGCTAGTGGCGGAAATGACTGGCAGAATCCGAGACCAGGGAGAAGAGTCGGTGGAAGAAGATTGGAAGAAATTTAAAGATTATCTACAGAAATATTGTAAAATTAACAAATGTTAGAATGATGTTCGATAAAAACTAAGTGGTTTTTAGCTGAAAAGCTATAAGGGAAGATGAAAAAAGGGCTTATTATGTAATATGTTAAATTCTAAAACTATAATATTCTTATGATTAATGATTAGGATATTAAAAGAGGGGAGGGAACTGCTGAACAAAATATTTGAACTGGAATACAAAAAAGGGAGGCGTGAGGAGGTCAGGAAGACAAGTAAATGAAAGATAAGACATGGAAAGACTAATCTGTTCTTTTTTCAACTATTTTTATTTTGTGTGTATATATATATATATATATATATTCATTTTATATATATCTGTTTTCCTTTTTCTTTTTTCGCTCATTTTTGTAACATGTTGAAACGCCAATAAATATCTTTTAAAAAAACAAAAAAAAACAAAGGGAAGGAGCTAGACAAAGAATGATCCAAGAAGTCCTCAATGGCAGAACAGGCGGGTGATAACAAGCAATATGTTACAACTGCCTAGTTTACAAGAGGAAAGGCCAAGAAGATACTTTGCACTGAGTTAGGCCAAGGACCCATTTGTCTTTGGTGCTGCCCCTTCTAGAAAGCCAATGGTTCTCCAGAACCCAGGCTGAGAACTGACTCAGCCCTGCTCCATAGAGCAGTGGGGGGTAGGGAACCTGTGGCTTTCCAAATGTTCTTGGACTCCAGCTCCCATCAGCCCCAGCCTGTATGGCCAATAGTTAGGGATGGTGTGAATTCCTAGTCCAATGACACCGGGATGGCTGCAGTTTACCCATTCCTATCTTAAAGGATACCGGTAACTTACATAGGAGCTATGTTCCGGGGCCCTGCATGTGTAAGTGGAATTGCACAAAATTGAGAACGCCCTCTAAATAGCCTTTAAACACCCTTTCTGGTGTGCTCTCTCCAAACCAGACCAAAAATATTGTATCAAAAAATATCCATGACTAGCGTTGAAGCTCTGGGATTGGCAGAAGGCTGCAGGATGTGCAGGAAAGCGGCAGCGACGGGAGCTGCTATGCTACCCCGCAAATCAGCTGTTAGGTGGGGAGGCTGAGCAGCCTAAAGAAAGCTCCGCTGTGCCTCGGGTCTCTTCAGGCTTCCTCTACCCTTTCTGATGTCCTCTTTGGGCTCCAGGGAGGGCCTCTTTGTGAGCCCCAAGGACTCTCCAGCTCTCCTGACATTTCTGGATTTGAAATGAATTATTTCATTATCTCCCAGCACCACACATATACAGTCAAAACTGAGTCGACATGCATAATTGGGGGAGGGAAGCCTGCATACAGGAAGCAGGGCTGTAGCAGATCTCTGCCTGGCTCAACGGAGAACCAAAAATAAAAATTTTAACTGGAGGTATCTGAGACTGGAGGTATTTGGGAGAATTTGTACATGGAAAGCATGTGTTCTCATCACTGAGCTATGCCTGTCACCTCAAAGGCAGGGAGCTGGGACTCTGGGTGCACATATGATACCTGTTTTCATTACAGTCTTTGAAGTTACAAAGGAATCCTTGCCGGTAGCAAAGAGCTCTGTGTTCACACCGAAGTGAACTACCCTGCCTTGCCAGCACAGCTGGTTTAGTAAGCAGTATAATAATGCAGTTGTTGTTAAATGTTGCGTTTACTTCGTTGCAAACCAACCTGAAAATTATTATAGGACAGCATAGTAATACTTTTAATTAAAATATGTAAATGAACAACATATAAAGCATACTACCACAGAATTTTATTTTATTTTAAATAGCATGCATTTCATTTTATCCACACCACTGTTTGCCCGGCTGCTTTTCCCTGGGAAAAAGAGACCCTTTCCCCCAGCTGGAAAAACTGTGCATGTTATGTGAATGTGTTCATATGATGATGCATCTTTAGCCATGCTTGTGCTTTAAATAGGTTCTAAGTCACTTGGAGAGCTTTTGTGTCACAAGTGAGGGACAAGTTCATTCATTAATAATGACCGCAGCAGTAGTAGTAGTAAGGCAACTTCCCCCACCCCATCCAGCTGATTGGAATTGTAACCTAAATCAGCTGAAAGGTGTCAGGTTGGAGGAGGACGACAAACTCTACTGGCTCTCAGG